AGAAATATTTTCTTATTATAGGGCTACACAACTTTTTGGAAATATAGTTAACTTAATGGAAAATAATTTAAAAGTTATTGGTTAGGTTGTCCTATGTTATATGCATTGGCAACCATTTTAGATCCTAGGTGCGGAGTAGATGAAACTGAATCATTGATGACTGCTACAGCAGAGAATTTAAAAATAGATATGCAACTAAGTATTACTGACGCTAAGAAAATGTAGAAAAAGTTTTTAGTTTGTATGAAGTAAAATATAGCACAGGTAAAAAAGAACAGGGAACTTCGTTGTTAACTACCAGTTCGGGACCTAAAGGATCGTCATGGAGTTTCTTGAAGAAGAAAGAGAAAACGGCAGGATCGTCCTCAACACAAGCGTCTACGGAACTAGTCAAATATTTTGAAGCAAATTTTGTAATCGATAACGACAAACTAGACATCTTACAGTGGTGGAAGAGCAAGACAGATCATTTTCCAACACTGTCCATAATAGCTCGTGACATTCTGACAACTCCAGTGTCAACGGTAGCATCGGAGCAAGCTTTTAGCGCAAGCAACCGAATTCTTGACAAGAAGAGAAGTAGAATGCATCCAGATATCTTGGAGAGACTAATGTGCGTTAAAGACTGGGAAGATGCCAGAAGACGAAAATAACAATACACAGATGATTCGATGCAAGAATATTTTTCTAACTTAGAAATAACAGAATCTTCTGGAAGCACTTAGGTTTGTAATTTACTATTCCTAGCTACTGCACTCTTTTTTCCTTCACTAAGGTTTTGTCCCGATCTCTCCACGGGTTTTACTTAGCAAGGTTTTTAATGAGGCAGTCATTTATGTGTACTCATATTATGTCAATTCAATAAAATCACATCTTTTGGGGGATATGATATTTTTTTAATTAAATTTAAAAAAAATACAAGGGCCGGGGCCGGCCCGTGAAAGGCCTAGGCCTAGGCCCGGCCCTGGCCCTTATGGACTAGGGCCAAAGGCCTGGACCGGGCCTGAGTTTTTCTTCTCAAGCCCGGCCC